AGTACAGCTATATCAAGAATGTGAACAGAAATAAAAATGACAGGATTCAATACCCATCTTTCCTTAATAACTTTAAATATCAATGGACTGAACTCCCCAGTCAAAAGACACAGACTAGGTAAATGGATTAAGAAATGAAACCCATCTTTTTGTCGTCTGCAACAAACTCATCTCACTTTCAAGGACAAGCGCTATCTTGAGGTGAAAGGATGGAAAAAAATATTCCAAGCAATTGGTACTAAGAAAAAAGCAGGTGTTGCAATTCTAGTATCTGACAAAATGGACTTTAAACTAAAACCAATCAGAAGAGATAAAGAGGGCCACTTCATTCTGATCAAAGGAACAATAAACCAAGAAGATATTACAATCATGAACATATATTCACCAAACTCTCATGCACCCAACTTAATTGGCCATATACTGGGGCACAAAACAAACCTCGACAAATCCAAAAAGACTGAAATAATTCCATGCATTCTATTAGACCAAAATGCAATAAAGCTTAAAATCAACACCGGAAGGAGCCCTACTAGTCACACAAGCACATGGAGATTAAACAACACACTCTGTAGTCAAAAGAGAAATTAAGAAAGAAATACAAGTATTCTTGGAACTAAATGAAAAGTACAATACAATACAACAAAACCTCTGGGACACACTGAAAGCTGTCCTTAGAGGGAATCTCTAAGTGCCTACATTAAAAAAATTGGAAAGAACACAAATAAATGACTTAACATTGCAACTCAAGACACTTGAAAACCAACAACAAATGAAACCCAAACACAGCAGACAAGAAGTAGTAACAAAAATCAGGGCAGAAATTAATGAAATAGAAACAAAACAATACAAAGAATCAACTAATCCAAGAGCTGGTTCTTTCGAAAAGATAAACAAGATGGACAGACCGCTAGCCCAGTTAAACAAAAGAAAGAAAAGGCACCTCTAAATCAACAAAATCAGAGATGAAAGGTGAAATACATCACAATAGTCTGGTATTTTTAATTTAATCAAGCTTGAGTAAAACAAAATACATTTATATAATCTTTGATTGCACATGTTCTTTTTATGTTTTTTTTTTCTTTTTTCATTGAA